ACATACCTATTTAATTTGTCATGCGCAATAGTATCTGTGTAGACCATGTGCCTTGCATTGATAGTTCCGAGAATCCGAAATAACATATTAAAAGTGTGAAGGCCGTGGCTTTAATGTAATAAAGTAAAAAAAATAGTGAATCGACTCCGTCGGTTTACTACATTAATATGGATACTTAAAAAATTGTTAATCAAATTAATCAATAGTCAATACTCAATAATTATAATTAGTAATTATGAAATAAATCATCTTTAATGTAAAATTCAGTAGGTACACGTTAATTTCTGTATAAAATAAAATGTGTATTATATTATTTACTAAAATTAACTTACAACAATACCTGAGAATTTTAACTTTAGAACAATATTGAAAATATCAGTCGGGGTTAATATAAAATATTTATCAACAATGATCAAACATTTAATGAATACAAAATAAAGTCCAAAGAATTATAGTAGAATATGCTAGATCATACTATAACGTAAACAAATGTATTTTGTATACATATATATTTTACAGATTAATATAATTTTAAAATGTTTAGATCACCAAAAATGAAGGCTATATAATAATTTGACTAGTATTATAATAGTAGAATTAAAGTGATTACACGTGACTACATGATTTTCAACTAAATACATTATACCTACCTACTTATTATGATACTTATACATAATATATAGACATATACTATATGAATATTTAAAATTTACTTAAAACATAACAAATTACATGTATTAATAAAATTGTTTAAACAGATACCTAATAAGTATACCAATTGCCTAACTAAATAATAAAATTCATAATTTATTAACAATTATTTGAACACTAATTATTAATTTTAAGTATTTTAGTTCAAAATGTCATAACCATATCAAATTATTTGATAAGTTATTATCACCCAGTTTACAGTATACCATAGAAATAAAAGTGGTTTTTAATTAGTTCTTTGATGCAACTTAATTTATACATATTAATTGTTCTCATTTATTATTACTAGGTACTTATTATTTTTATGATTTTATTAGATCATACAGTTAATACATTTTTTATGTAGGTAACTTGAAATATAATATGATTATTAGAAACTCTTCTCTAATTTACATGGTCTATGATTTCACTACCTTCTACCAGTTCTAGTGTTCTACCTAGCAAAGGTAATAAAATATGGACAAACCATAACATTTGAACTTATAACATGACACTATATACAAGAAAAATTACATAAATATGTGCATTAAATCTTGCATTAAAAAATAAAAATAGATACCTAATTATTTACTATTTAAATTTATAATTTAAAGTACCTACCTGGCTAACTACACATGTCTTGTTCAAGATGTCCTTTAACAAAAACAATTTATTGTAAGTTGTAATATTTGTAACAAGAATAGATTAATAATGTACATAGACTATTTACAAAGTAGTATCATTGTATAGGTAATAATGAGTTGAATTTGAATCTATGCTAGTTAATTATAGGTATTGCTAGAGAGCCTTGGTATATTATTGTAATGTAAATAGGTACAACTAAATCTATTAAATACAAATTAGTACTTCAAATAAAAAAAAATGTTTATTAACAATAATAATTAACAAATACAAATGCAATATTAATTAAAATTCAAGTCTATGTGAATGGTGGATCCAACCAAAATACCAAATACTGATCCAATATTGCCAAGTTTCCAAGTGTCAAATCATGAAAAAATAAACTATAAACAAATTGTTTTGTTAGGTATATGTCAAATATGATTTATGGACTTATGAGTTATATGTAGGGGCGGACTGGGCAGGCAAGATACTCGGAGCTTTCCCGGTGGGCTGCTGCTCAAAAATAATATACCTAATAAATAAAATAAATAATATATTTTACTCTGTAGGTACTTTAGATAAATTACCTACTGAACACATTGGATCTAGTTGTTTTCTGATAAAATTCAATACTATATTTAAGTTCTTAAATTTTGTGATGACGAAATTGCTAGGGTCGGTCAAGATATAGATTTCTCAGCCCAGTCAGTGCAACTCAGCCCACCTGGTAGCCCTAGTCCGCCCCTGATTATATTAATATGGTCAGTGCCTAGTCATGGTAACTTTAAAGTTTTGGACTCTCTACAATGAGATCCGGTCAATTACTTCTTAGTCATTTTAATCCCTCGAATACTAGATACCTAGGTGTCATTTTGATCACGGGGATTTAAGTGACGTTAATCTAGGTGAAACGTCAGTACGTCACCAGCCTGCCTGCTGGCCGGCTGGTCGTTTCGTCATCAATATTGTTTATCACTCTCGATGCTTCCCGGCTATCTGTCATCAAAATATACTAGGCGTCGGAATATTCTCGCATTCTACAATATTAATAATATTATGATCGTTGTGGACTTTGGTGTGTATTTTAAAAAGCAAAGCAAATAATACAATATTATTATCGTAATTATTATCTGTGAGCAGTGAGGAACACTCTTTCCGGTAATCTCGCTTCCGGAGAAATTTGAAGCTTCCTTCAAACTTTGAGTACGCCTTCCGGGCCCCGTAAGTATTTACGAGTTGCTTGTTATCTTCACCGTCGCTTCGTGTTTACTCTCGTTATTATAACAAACACGTACGTGTTGTCCTTTCCGTCTTTTCCGTCGTGAATACCTAATATCTGCTGACTGTAACTATTTTATAGGTATTCGATTTCTATACCTACGGAATACGCTTCGAACGTGTTGTAGTCGTCATCGCATAGACTATACCACATATACCTATTTACAATATATCTGTGGACTATACCCACTGAAGATTTCCCCATACGCATACTACATAATATTATTGTTTATGTATGTCGACGTTCATAGATAATACTTATATTATTATCTATGTGTATATTAGGTAGGTATACTAATTATCTATGGCTTTCGTTGTGCGTCATAGATAACACCGACTGACCGTCTGTTTCGTCAGTTCGTCTCGAGTCTTTGTAGTTCGTAGCATGATAAAGTCTACTTAGGTATTTTTATTTACTCTATTAGTTAATTTTTTTATTTAAAGTTTACTTTATCACGGTTCGATCCCCGCGATCATTGTCGTACCGTCTCTCACCTCACCAGAAATCGTAAGTAGCCCGACTGCAGCAGATCTACTTCATTTTACGTAATAATAATAGGTAGGTATATCGTATGACGTATATATTACAATAATTGCGAGAAGTCGCGCCTTGAAGACGTGCGTGATTTTGTGATTACGTCACAAATAGTCACAGCATTCTATATCATACTCTGTACGATATGAACATTGAACATCTGTGACTATCGTAGGTGGTTTTGTTGGATCTATACGATAGTCACGGACTAAGATATATATATATATATATATATATATATATATATATATATATAAGTACATCTTAATCCGTGACGATAGTACATTAGTAAGTACCTGGCTAATCTAATATTATGAAGGTCTAGTGTAATCGCTGTTACCTACCCACTAACTGCATACAATTGTCGGCTGATTTTTACCTGTTTTTTCTAATTTCAAATTTATATAACCCGTTATTTATGTCCTGAGTAAAAGTTCACGGATCACTAGTTTTTTTCCACCACTTCCTGTAGTTATGCAGATACATTTATCCTTAAGATTTAAGGCAATAAGACTGGTTGAAAGTACTCGCAAGCCACACTTATAATCGATAATTACTTGAATATAAACTGATGACCACATTATTAAAACTTGTAGTGAACACTAAACATGTTTGAAATTATTGTCTTTAGATTCTGAAGGGCACTGTATAACACCTGCATCTACCAATGCATTGAAGTCATCCAGTAATGAAAAAGCTGTACAATATCAAGAACTGATATCAGTTAATAATTCAACTTCACAGAAACAATCGCAACCAACTGAAACATTCCAATCATTAATACCTATCAGATCAAAATATAAGTAACCAATCATCATCAGAGTATAAACAATAATATATTCAATCAACTTCAGTTTACCAACCACCTTCTCAAGATATACAAGTAATTTTTGAATTCTTATAATATAAATGTACGCTCTTGCCTTAATACCTAATTAAAGTTTAATATTAATAATTTAAATTTACACATTTCATACAAATGGTCTATTAAACAATTAAAACATGAATCTATAATAATGTATTAATAATATTATATTATATAATATATAATAATATATTATAATTTAAATTTAAATGTTTACAGTGTACAAGTGCACAGAATTAACTCCTGCAATTTTTTAACATTCTAAATACCAATACTTGAGGTAACTTTACATAAACTTTAATTTAAATATTATGTCAAAAACAAGAATTTTAATATTTCTAAAGGTATGTAATTTGTATAGAATAATATCTCTATTTAGTAGTAATAATATATCTCTATGTTTGTCAGAACATTAGCAGTCTTAGCGGGTGTCACTTCATTATTGGAGTCGGCGTATATGACTGAACTTATCGACAAGTATAATCCAAAACTGGAAAGAAGGATGCCATATTTGTGTTCCAGTTGTTGGACATTCAATGACCCCTTTCAATGTACAGCTACGCTAATCATTGTTCCAGACTATTGTTTGGTACACTGGAATCAAGATGTAACAACATTTTCTTTTAGTTATATATTATTTATGAAAATTAATATTATAATTTTAATTTCAGATACAGAGAATAGCTGGTCAAGCTTTAAAGTTATAGCTTTCGGTCATGTAATTTTATACAACCTACTATATTATAATAATATAATATATGCATAGATGGCTAGACACAACAAATACACCACTGCCTAAACTGCTTTCCCCTGTTCCCTACATATACCCTCCCTGGAAAATGAACCTAAACACCAACACCTCAATGATCCAAGAAATCCAAAACATAGAGCCGTCCGAAATCCCTAAACATTTTAATGACATTATACTTAAGAATTTCTGTAATCACAAAATTATATACACCGATGGATCAAAATCCAACGTCAAAACATTACTAGCTATAATTACAGATGAAGAAACCTTCAAGTTCTCTTCACTGGAGAATAAATTCTATTTTCACCATCAAGGCACTAGAGATCCTGAAAGCCATAGTACTAACTGAACAAAATTGGAAAAATACTAAGTCCTTCTTAATAGCCAGCGGTTCCCTTAGTTCTATCCTAGCTATACAAAACCAAGGGGCATCAAATGAAATAATAAAAAACATACAAGAAAGAGCCTCTTCCCTTGCCCCCCGTTCGGTAACCTTCTTGTGGATTCCTGCCCACAGAAACATACCAGGAAATGAAAAAGCTGATGTAGCAGCTAAAGAGGCCGCCACCAACATCAATATCCCCAGAATAGACCTCTCATCTTTCAAGGACACTGCCCGAAACGCCTTAAAAAGTAGCAAAAAACTTCACCAACGACTCTGGGACCAGGAACTGAACAACAAGTTATACCAAATAAAACCGTTTTCGTCACCTAACTCGAATCCTCCCTCAAGTACGAAAAGACAACAAGTGATATGGACACGGATAAAAATTGGACTCACAAACATCACACACGTCCACTTAATGAGAAGATAGCCTAGAGCAAACTGCAAACTCTGCAACAACGCCCCGATTTCCATAACACACCTATTCCTAGAATGCCCTAATCTAACCGAACAAAGAAAAATTTTTCCACACCTAACATTAAGAGATATTTTAAGTATAGACAATTTTAACTATTTAATAACATTCTTTAAAATAACCAATCTATATAATAGAATCTAAATAGTTATATATTATTGTTACCCATACCATTATCACCATATACTTGTACTGTACCAGCGTTTCCCAAACTTTTGTTTGGGCTGGCCCGGTAATTTATATTTTTCACCTTCGTGACCCACCAAAATATTTTACATTTTACATTTGTTACTATCATAATGTATTTATAGATAAGGCAAATGTCATACTATTCGGGTTTTTCATGAAGCCTAGTTGATAATCTCAATAATTATTATTTATGTTGTAAATAATAGTTATTTGTATTAATGAATTTATTTTTACTTAAAAGTTTAAATTATCAAACTAAAATGATAAATCACAAATTTAATATGAGAATTTCATTAAACTTTGCGACTAGGTATTAAATTTTTTATGGCCCGGTAGTGGGTCGCGACCCACTATTTGGGAAACGCTGCACTATACTATACTATACTGTATTTCTTTTATTTAAATATTATGATGAGTGTAAATAACTTGTAAACATGTTTTGTTCCCGCCTAATGACTTTAATGTTGAAGCCGTATTAATAAATAAAAAAAAATATATTCATTGTATACTTTACTTGAATATAAACTAGGGGTCGCGGTTGTGAACGGGTATTAGAATACACGGGCACACGGAGCCCGGATACGTGGGCAAAAATTATATTAAAGCCCTTGTATTTAATATCCGTGTATAATACCCGTGCATAGCCGTGTATTTTTTATACCTACTTTTAATTATCAATTATACTTAGGTGCATACACATTTATTTAATTATTGTAACTTATTAATATTATTGATGATTGTGATTATGAATTTAGAACATATACTAAGAGGTAGTGAACACAATATATTATGATATATATACTGTCATATTGAGTTCAGTAAGCGGAGCAATCTTAAGTCAGCACTACAAAATAGTGATATACGATTTTATTAAAATATATGAGTATTTAAGGTCACAGGTATTTTTATAACACGGGCTTTAACCCCGTCATAGGTAAAAACACGGGTATCCGTGTAGTTCATTACAAGTGTAATCTCGACCTCTAATGTAAACTGATGACCACATTATTAAAACTCGTAGTCAACACTAAACATGTTTAACTTCACTGAAACAATTGCAACCAACTGAAACATTCCAATCAGATCAAAATATGAGTAACCAATGATCATAGTATCAACAGCAATATATTCATTCAACTTCAGGTTACCAACCACCTTCTCAAGATATACAAGTAATTTTTGAGTTTTTATAATATAAATGTACACTTTTAACTTAATACCTATATTTATAATTTAAATTTACGCATTTCATACAAATGGTCTACTGAACAGTCTACTAACCATTTCTTGTAGTTATGCAGATACATTTATCCTTAAGATTTAAGGAAATAAGTCTGAAAGTAGTCGCAGGCCACACTTAAAATCGATAATTACTTTTAAAATAAAAGTCCAATCATTGGACTTTTATCTGATTTTTATTTCACAATTTTTAATAAACAAAATAGTATTATATCAGTAGATAATTATTATGGCATTCATCGGCCATTAGACAACATGATTTTATAAGTTGACACCAAAGTTATTTATGGGAATTTAATAGGCCAAAAATTACCTACCCACCTATGTTACAATGTTATTTTAATTTTCTAATAAACTGTTTTTTCAATATACAGAAATGAGACACAAAAATTAAAGTACATAATAGCTAATGAGCGGGTTAGTTTCCACGTTTATCGGTGGTTCAGACTTCGGATTACAGATAAAAAAGAACTCGATTAGCTGATTGAGTGTCACTTCTATATTGTTCTGTGAAAGAAGTAATTGCAGGGTGACACATTGGGGATATTCTGGAAGCTGACTTCCATTTGTTATGCTGAATTTAATAGAAAGATGTTTAGTTTTTTGTGTAAGTAAGTATTTAAATTTAAAATTATAATTTTTATTTATATTTTGCTGTAATCCAAAAATTAATAATTTTAGATATCTAAGTGCCTACTACATTTTGACATATATGGTCAAATGTAAACTTATAATATTAAAATGAACAAACTTATTTTTATACAAACTATGACTAGCTTATTTTCTTATTAATTATGTATTGTATTTTGAATGAAGAGAAATTTATCTCTTATACATACAACTTCAAATAAACAATGTGTGGAATAAAAGAATAATAGATCTATTTTAGTCGGATAAATAGAGAAATAATTTACGGATGGATTAACCTTGAGTTTTCACTATAATAAACCATATATTTTATTACTAAATGTCCACAAAATGTAATTGCACCATTTAAAACAGCTTAATATTTTTTTAATTGTTAAGCTTTAGGTTATAATTAGTGATTTAATTGATCTCAACAAAAACCTTAAAATTTGATGCATTAAAATACTTTATAAAAAACTTTCAAATATTTTACTCAATGCCTATAAAATATAAACCCAAGATAGTAATACAAATAAATTTACCTATGATTCATGTGATCCTATAATTTTATACTGGCTTAATTATTTTCATTCTTATTGTGGCCACTAATATTTCTTATTTCACAATCTGAATAAGAGTGGGTACTTTTATACAAAAAGTTGATATAAATAAATGTAAAAATGTATAAGCTATTAAAGCAACAGTTTTTATTAATGAGCCTATTTTAAAATGTAAATATTCTTATAAAAGAGTGAAGTTAAAATGTGTAGTACACTACTGGAGTAGTCTATGCTTAAATACTTTAAATGTTATTAGCTCATTAAATCCTTCGGTATTTATATTTAAAAAAATCAACATTTTTTGTTCCAGACTAGCATAAATTAATATTATATTTATCAATATAAAAATTTAAATAAACAGTGGTTCCACTTCCACCAACCAAAAATATAAGATTTATACCTAATAGGTAACTAATAACTAATAAGTATTTGAATTTCACTTGTATATAGGTACTTACTATACATTTTGTAAAAAATAAGTGTAACAAAAACACAACACATTTAAGATAATACAATGTTTCCTTTTAAAAGAATCTCACTTTATAATATAATAATTTTTAGTTTGTCTATGTAATAGAAAATATAACATATAATAAAAATTATTATTCGCGACTGATTTTTTAAAACTTTTTTCAGGTAACGCAAAAACTAAGACAACAACTCTAGCCGCTTCGGAAAATTCATGGAAGCGTGCTTCAAAAGCAGATGGATGATAAAAGAGAATGCATCATTCAAAACAACCTGCTGAAACAGTCAAGAACTACATTCCAAAGTGCAGGCAAACAAAATTACCACATTGTTTATCAGCTCCCAGAGAACACGAATGTAAGTTGTTTTGTTTTTATACACATACCCATATGTTGGATTGGAAAGGTGAGATGATATTATCCATGTACCGGTGTCTCCTCTTAAAATACTTTGATTTCGATATATTATAATACTGCACCCTAAAATTATAAATATTACATTTTTGTTCATGTTTTTGAATCATATATTTATTAGTAGTTTTCTTAGCTTTAGCACAATCAATTTATTTATATGGTCTGGGGATGTACATAATCCAGTCATATTAATGTATTATGTATACTATAAAATCTTTAATAAAAGTTATTTTAAATAAACCAAGTTTTTTTCTTCAAATTTAATATATACAATTCTTAATGTTCAACCCTATAGGATATCATATGAATGTCAAACTTTATTTTATATGTATAAAATTAAAAACTTAATTAAGGATTATCAACCATCCCATGATTACCATACAAGACTAAAAAATAATAACAACACAAATATTCCTCATAATAAAACTAATTTTAGTAATCAAAGCACTATTATTAAAGGTGTTTTATTATTACGAGTATATAATATAAACATTTTTTTCTTTTATTAATTTTAATCAATATAAAAATCATGTAATTAGTGTTCTATCTTAGATTTATTGTTTTTGTGTTGTTGGAATAATTAATTCGTTTTTTTTAAAACTTTTAAAACTTTTTTTTTTCATATTTTGCACTTTTGTTATACCTTAATAGAACTCAACTCATTCGCATTCAAGCTTATTTGCTTATATGAAGAGTTGCAACTTTTGTTATCTATATTGTTTATCTAACAATGTTAAATTGTTGCTGTTTCAATAAACTTTTATTATTATATATTCTATTATTATTCTAATAGCAAATTATTTTAAATTGTTACCTATTCGAGTAGGGTGTTCATTATTTTAACACGTTGTAACTGTTAAAACCATAAAAATACAATTATTGTGTCCATAAATATTTTATTGATGGGATTTTTTTATTGCAAAGTTGAGTGAAAAATAATCAAGACAAATCCAGACTTATGTAACGGTTTTCTTTAAATTAAATATTGAAAAAAAGCACAAAAAAACTAATATACTGTTGAACATTAAATACAAATAAACTGATAAACAAATAAAATGTATTTCTTCTTTATTTATAACAAAGAAAATAAATTTCCGGGAGTGCATCAGCTCGTTTAAGCTTTTTATTCATAAGAAACTTTTTTTCTTTTTTTTCTTATGGATGTACAATACATAATATATTTTTAACATTTAAATACTTATTTTTAAATTGTTTGTGTTTTAAAATTTTTGTAAATTTGGACCTTCCGTTTGTGAGACATAATTTAATTGTGCATAGAAATATATTATTTGTACCTAAACATAAATATGTTATGTTTTTTCATGTCAAGGTTAAGGTAGGTTAAATGTTAAGGTAGGATAATAATATTTTGTCATGTATGGGACAGGTGGTAATAACGCACTCAGCGTGCAACGACGACGCTATACGCACTATACAGGGTGATTTTTTTTATCGTGAA